TTTGTTAGTTTGACATAACAACATTTTCATTGAGCATCAAACCTTCTATGTTGAGATAAAAATCACAATTTCTGTTAAATGATCATTAATGAACTTTTAATGTGCATCAAACTTATTATGAGTATTAAAACACTTTCAATGAGCATCACACTTATTCAGTTGAGTATTAGGAACCACTTACAAAAGGAGTATCGAAAAATCCAAAATGCCATTTGAAATTGATAATGTGCTCAAAACCTTATTTGTCTATACTCATTTCGTTTAAACATTATGCTCATTTGGCACACGAGAGCGATGTGGCAAGGGTTGGATTGATTTGTCAGGTCAATCTCAACGGAATGTAGTCTATACAGAGCATTAACGTTGTCCTATAGAATCTCTGCAATACCAGAGATGGAGGAAATGACGCAGCGAACTTCTCGGAGAAGATGACTGGTGCTCGTTGGGGTGATCTTTTCTGGTGGGATTACCGCTGAAAGCGGAAGTGGGGGGCGGGTTGACGGTTGGAAGACTGGCTGGCTCCGGAACTCGCTGGTGGTGGCCGGTTTAGGTGGGCGAACGAACTGGCTGGTTTGATAGGTTATCCGCTCAACGTCTCTCATGTGGCCCCACTCCCTGATGCTCGTTGACTGAGGCGGTGGATGGACAACTAAGGTTTCCAGGCACAACTGGTTCGTGCAACATATATGGAGCAGGAGAAGAAGCCTTAGAGTTGCATGGAATTACAAAATAGCCGGGTGTACATACACCCGGGTGTACGGTATAATTTACCCGTAATTCCTACTAATATCCCCATTCTTTAATATTTACAACAGTTTGATTTTTTACGTTTGCCAACGCACAACTTTTACTGTAATTATATTTGATTACGTATTAGTAAACATTTTTAAAATGTAATATTATGGAAATTCACATTATGAGAAAATGTATTAGTAGAAAATCGTGATCAAAGTAAGTGATGGATAGTCTACCCGGGGGTATATATCCGAAGGGTTATTACGGGGAATAACTTAGAGAGAAGTCAGAGCAAGTAAGTAAAAGTAGAGAGAGAGTGTATTCAATATGAATGCCGTTTTCAGCGTGGTTACAAATGGGGAAATGGGGTGCTATTTATAGTAGCAATAAATGCCGGGCAGGGACACGTGTCAAGCGCTCATTGGCCGAGGGGTCATCTCAACTGGTTGGTGCAGGCAGCCGCATGTGGCCGCATTTAATGTGGCTGTTGGATGGGACGTCTGTGCGGGGTACGGTGATCTGTACGCATGTGAGGCGGATATCTTGTCGAGTGAGATGCCTTCGGCTATAGAGCAGTAGCTGAGGGCTCCTCCAGCCGATGACACCCTGGTGCCGAGGGCTCACAGTGCCGAGGGCTACTGGTTTTTGCCGTTTTCTCCCAGTTTCTTATTTTGCTTGAGAAACCCGTTCTGTGAGAGTTTAGAACCTTCGACCAGGGGGCCGAAGGCACCCCTGGCGCGTGGTGCGGGCTGCTTGGTACTCTGGGCGCTGTGATTTGGGCCTGTTGGGCCTTTGCTGGAGTAGTAGGAGTCTGTGGGCCGGGGGTTCCCGGGCCATATACTCCATCAAGAGTCCCTCACTCCTTTTGCCGAAAGGCAATTGAGGGAAAAGAAGTAATTTGTGCTTGCCTTTTGATGTTGTCCCGTCGTGATCTCTGAAGTTGGTGAGGAGTTGTTGCTTTTATGTCCCTGCCGAAGGCAGTCCCTCAGTTATCCACATGTCGGGACTTGAGGGCTTGCCTTGTCGTTTGTTGGATTTTTACTAATTTTGTAGTTTAATGATTTTCCCGAGGGGGTCCTCCAGTCCCCCACTCCTTGAGGCACTTGTAAAGTGGTGAAAAAGGAGTAGAGTAGTTGTGTTGCTGTTGTGGGCCGAAGGCTGACGCTTTTCGTTTCATTTTGGGGGGATGCCTCGTTAAAAACCTCATTAGGAAAAACCCTGTGGGAAAAAAATCCTAATGAGGGAAAAAGAGTGCACCGAATTCCCCCAATGATGAATCGAAAATGTCGAACCTTGGTAAAAAATGGAGGATAACGGGAATGCCGAAGACTCTCTCGTCTGAGGGCTCCTGTGTTGATTAGCCGGAGGCTTGCTGTTGATGTCCTGGGTGCGCCGAAGGGGAGCCCCTCAATCAGGGGATCGAGGGCCCGCTGGATGAGGGCAGCAGTGGAGTTGTTACCGGGGGGTCCACTGTTTGTTGATTAATTGGTGATGAAGATACCCGAGAGCTCCCATTACCTGTGTGCCATGGGTCACCCGTCAATGAGGCAACTCCCATTACCCGAGAGTTGTTACCGGGGGGTCCACTGATATGAAGCCCTGGGTTTCTGAAGGAGTGACCCCGAAGGCGTCTGTTATGTGCTGTGTGGGGTGAAGTAGAAAACCCGGGGGCTTCTGGGTAAGTGTACCTGGAGGCTATTCTCGATGAAGTGGAGTGAAGTAGAAAACCCGGGGGCTTCCAGAATATAGCCGTTGGGAATATAGTCGTTGGAATATGTAGCGTCAGATTTATAGCCGTTGGAATATGTAACGTCAGGTTCATAGCCATTGGGGGGGGGCACACGTGGCGTGTGATGGCTGGCTGTCCGTGGGCGGCGTCACTGGTTTGGCGAAGACGCGGTGTGTAATGATGGCGCCCATCCGGAGGCCCGGTTTCCGGGCCCAAGTCCGGATTCCAGCGCCTATAAATACCCCAAGGCCAGGGCCATTCCTTCTTGTGCGATCATTTGTTTTAGCGAAGCTCTGCCGAAAATTCTAGAGAGAGAAACTCCATCCTTCGGTCAAAACTCTGCTTTCAAGGTCAGTGCCCGTTTTCCTCTCCAAACTTTTAGTAAGTTCCGCCCTCTGGCCTTAGATTAGGGTTAGTCCTGTAGAAAGCCTTCGAAACCTTAGACACACTTCGTGATAAAAATGTCGTCCGAGAGCGATTCCCAGGACATCTCGAGGACGCCCTCGATGGAGGACGAAGGCATCTCCGACGTGGAGTCCAGCAGTGGTCAGCCCTCGGATGGTGGTGATGCAGCCCTCGCCACTGAGGTGCAGAAGGATCTGATGGCCGAGGCCGAGGCGGAGGAATTCGAGCGAACTGCCGAGGATGAAGAGTTGGCCCTCGCCGTCCAAGTTGCTGAAGAGGAGGAGGAAAAGGAGAGGGCGAAGGTCACTGTGGCAGTCCTTCCCCCTCGGGGTGCTGGTGAGGCCAGTACTTCCCAGCCGCTGAATGCAGTTACCATCCGGGTGGCCCCCGGGAAGAAGAAGGCTAAGGCAGCTGCCCCCAAGAAGAAGGTTATTGCTGCTGATCAGGGGAAACCCGTAGATATGCCGGAGGGGTATTCCTGGCTGAACACGGCTGCCTTGGAGATAAAATCGAAGGCGGACAGGGCGGACCTCTACGTGACGCAGCTACATGTAGGGCCCTCGGCCGTGGTGGTCGAGCCGGGAGTTGACGACGTGCTCTCTCGGGCGCCTGAGGGGTGCATTGCAGTACACGTACTGTCGGTTTCCATGGGCCTTCGGTTCCCTCTGCACCCCTTCCTCCGGGAGTACCTGAGGTTTGTTGGCTTGGTACCCTGCCAGCTGACACCTAATAGCCACTCCTACGTGGCGGGTTTTTTAAACCTCTGTAGGGACCGAGGGGTGACCCCCAGCCTAGACTTGTTCTTCCAGAGCTTCAACCTCTGTCGAGGGGGTCACGCAAATGCCGAGGGCTTCGCCAACCTGCAGCAGGTGGCCAGGTGGAAGCTGTTTACGGAGGCGCCTTCGTCCAATAAGGGCTGGAAGGAGCACTGATGCTATGTCAGGGTTGCTGAGAACCCATTTCCGGCGGAACTTCGGGATCGCTTCCGTCGGCATCCGAAGGTTGGAAGCGCCGCCCTCGAAAAAGATGGCCTGGTGATAGCCAAAATCCCGGAGGGTCGCACAAAGCAGGTCTCCATCAAAGACTATACTGCCGACAAGGGATTCTACGCCCTCGGCTTTCGGAGATACCGATTTATTGGGGAAGCGGACGAGAAGTACCCCATTTTTGCTGAGGCCTTCGGGGGAACAGGAGGTAGTCTACGAGGTCCCTCGGTTTTCATATCTTAGCACATAGCTTATTTTGTTCGTGTTTTTTTTCTTTTTATTCTTTGTGCCTTCGGTCAGTAACCCCTCGATTTTGACCCCATACCTTTTTTTTGCAGGTGTCCCAGTGAAAATGATGAACGTCAGAGGCCTTGCAGACCTGAAGAAGAAAAAACCCTCCAAGGGCCCGAGGGGGACGGACGCCGGTGTCCCAAAACCCGACGGTGACTTCTTCAAAAAACCGGAGGGGCCGTCGGTGGGCCCAAGTGCTGATGCTGCCGCCGCCGCCAAAAGGAAGGGCTCGGGCAGAGATCCCGAGGGCAAGAAGCCCAAGACCGGGGATGCCGGGAAGAAAGTCCCCCCGGTGATCATTGTTGATGAAGGCCCTGCCTCCGGGGCGAATGAGGACATGCAGGTGGCGAAAGTGCCACTGGGAGTTCAGGGGCCATCTTCCGAGGTCCTCATTGTTTCCCTCTCGGCTGGTACGGCCGTGATGAACGGTACGGCCGACCCGAGGGCGCTTCTGAGAGGCATCACCCTCGAGATTGACAGAGTAGCCCTCGGGGCTGATGAAGACGAAGCCCTCGAGGACAGGATCCTCCGGTCTTCCCTCACAGTAAGTCTTTTATGTTTATTTCTTTCTTTTCTACTTCGAGCTAAGAAACCATGTTTGGCCTCGCTAACCCCTTTGTTTTTGTAGACCTGCATTGCCCTCGGGGAGCAAGCCCGGCGGCTAGATGAGTGGCGCCTTCGCAAGGCCGAGCAGGAGGCCAAGATGCGGGAGCTCATCCGCCAGAATGCAGACGCTGTTCGACAGATGGCTATGCTGGAGGAGAGCCTTCGGCAGATGACCCTGCGGGCGGAAGCCGCAGATCGGGGTAGGGCTGAAGCCGAGAGGTCCGCAGCTGAGGCCTTGGAGAGAGCTGTCAAGGAAGCCGAGGCCGCGAAGGTGGAAGCCGTCGAGAGAGCCCGAGGGGACGCAATCTCGGGGTTCTTGGCAGGGGGGTGGCGGTCCGAGGAGCACAAGCAATGGCTGTCCTCGGTCGTCGAGTCCTCGGTCGACGAGTGGTGTGATGGGCCTGGCGTGGAGTGGGTTTCCCGAAAGGGTAAACAATACTATGATGGGGGCGAGTTTTTCACTCAAGCCCTCATCTACCGGAGGATGGCTCGCCACTTGAAGATCGAGCCAAAGGACTTTGACCCGGCAGCATACGGGCTCCCCCCTGCAGCCAGACATCCGCGTTCCTCTTCCCCCCGATGTCGAGAGGCCAGACCTGGAGGACTCTGAGCTCATGAAGGAAGCCGAGGGCGACGAACCTGAGGCTGACGCAGAAGTCACCTCGAAGCCATCGGGGGAGGCGGCCCCCGGGAATGACATTATTTGATATGTATTTTGTATTATGTAAACATGTATTTGTAATGGTGACATTATTCATCCTTCGGCTTCGGCCTGCTTGTAACATTTATTCGTATTACATTTGCCCTCTGTTTGTTGATGATTGAATGATTGCCTTCGGGCTGTGTTTATATGACTTGTTTTCTCCAATTCCTTTCTTCTTGAATGTATGCCTCCGTTTTCCTTGAGTGTATGTTTTAGGACTTAGAGTATTTTCTGATTGTAGCTTGCCCCTGGAAGCCCTCGGTAGTTGGGCACCCTCTGCTGGATATGCAACCGAGGGTTCAGCAGCAATTAGGACTTAGAAATTTTTCCTAAGTGTAGCACAGCATGAGGCCTTCGGGCGTCTGTAGTAACCCAAATCCTAGGACTTAGAAAAATTTCTAAGTGTAGATTTCCCCTTGAGAGCCTTCAGGATATGGCATCCCTTCCTGATGTGTGATTGTTGGACCGAGGGCCCAATGTACAGGACTTAGAATTTTTTTGCAAGTGTAGTACGTCACGTAGCCTTCGGCTACTGTGGAGCCTCAACTGAAATATTGAGTAGGCCGGGGGCCAATTCTATAGAACTTAGGAAATTTTCTTGAGTGTTGATTCCTTGTGTACTGTAGCCTTCGATTGATAGGCAGCCTTCGGCGATTAGGTCCCTTGAGATGAGGGTGAAATATGTAGGATTTAGAGAATCTTCTAAGTGTAGAGTTTCCCTTGGGAGCCTTCGGGAGATGGCATCCCTCCTTGACGTATGAGCAGTTGACCGGGGAAAAACATGTAGGACTTAGAAAATATTCTAAGTGTGCATTTTCCCTGGGGAGCCTTCGGGAGATGGCATCCCTTCTTGATGTATGAGTAGTTGACCGGGGAAAAACATGTAGGACTTAGAAAATATTCTAAGTGTGGATTTTCCCTTGGGAGCCTTCGGGAGATGGCATCCCTTCTTGATGTATGAGTAGTTGACCGGGGGGAAAACATGTAGGACTTAGAAAATATCCTAAGCGTAGATTTTCCCTTGGGAGCCTTCGGGAGATGGCATCCCTTCTTGATGTATGGCCTTCGACTGTCATATTCCTCTAGCTGCAATACTGATTGAGCCGGGGGCCCATCTTTAGGACTTAGAATTTTTTTTTGCAAGTGTTGTTGTATCGCATAGCCTTCGGCTATTGTATTCCCTTGGCTGTAATATTGATTGAGCCGGGGGCCCAATTTTAGGACTTAGAATTTTTTTTTGCAAGTGTAAAGTGATGTCAAGCTTCCAGGTGTAAAGCCCTCCGGATATATGAACGGGACCCTTCGGGTGATCGTGGGCTCCTTGAGTTGTAAGAGCATTTGATCGAGGGCCAAATACGTGGAACTTTAGCAAAATTTCACAGTGCGTCGTAGATGTTGGACCTTCGGTCAGTGAGGAGTCTGTTCGGGGGGCAAATATTTTGGTGTAGTCCCCCTCGGTTCATTTTTGATGATTTGTAATATATGCCTTCGGTTGTCTGGTGATATATTAGCCTCCGGTTGCCGTCATTTTCCAAAAATGTGGACTTAGGAAAAGTGTGGAATCCTGTTGTTGTGAAGAAAGCCAATGATGAGTGTGTGCCCTCGGCATACACTCTGAAGAGTTTGTAGAGTTTGACTCAGCCAGTTGTGTCCCTTGTAATGGGGTAGGGGCCCTCGGTATTAATGCATAACAGATGCCTTCGGTATTTGTAGTACCGTTTAGGGGGCTTTGGATAGTCCCGTCCCTTGGTATTGTTGAAGCCTTCGGTGCTTGTGTGACCAGAGGTGACCAGGCAGTGGACTTAGCCGTTTCTTGATGATATTTGTTTGAGTAGTATCCTTCGGGAAATAGGAGCCTTCAATTACCGGAGGTGTTCACGTGGGGAGCCCTCGGCATGTTGTGATCTGTTGGAGTGTACTCTTTGATTTCTCGCTGAGTCTACTCCCCTTCACCCCCTCTTTTTTTTTTGGTTGGTGGTGAAGGGAAGGCATCAAGAAACTTGGTTTCTTGGTAAGGCTGGGCCTATTAGGAGACCATCAGAATACACCAATGGCTCTCCTCCCTCGGGTTAACCTTCCGAGTTCCGAGGGGATCGAGGGACGTTTCCTGGGCACAAGATATGGTGGTCCGTAACCTGCCTCCCCTTGGGGGATGGCGCGGAAAGCGCCTCATTTTTGAAAGTCGTCCCCTCGGCGCTAGACATAGTCCGTGTCCTGCCACACCCTTGGGGTGGTGGCGCGGGGAGCGTTTCGGTTTGGAAGTCGAATCTTGGGCATTTCTCATGCCTGTCATACCCTGGGGGTAGTGACGCGGATAGCGTTCCGTTTTTGAAAGTCGAATCCTGGACATTTCTCATGCCTGTCATACCCTGGGTGTAGTGACGCGGAAAGCGTTTCAAGGAAGGGTTTTCATTTGCACACTAGTTGCAAATGGCCGGGGGCACTACGTGCCGCCGGCACCGATGGTGGCGCCTTCGGTATATGCGTCCTCGTGGGGTACGGCTTTTAGAAACAACACTTGGTGTTAGTTTCGATGTGTAGCCCCCGGTACTTGGTACCGAGGGGTCTTCTGTAGGAACACTTGGTGTTCTCTTTTGTTGTAGTTGATGTAGGCGTCTACCCTCGGTACTTGGTACCGAAGGGTCTCCAAATGAAACACTTGGTGTTTCCCAACAGATGTTTGGAAGTTGATAGGAGAGCATATCCCTGGCACTGGGTGCCGAGGGGTCCTCTTTGAGACATTTGGTGTTTTTTCTTCGTTTCGATGTTTGATGATGGAGGTGTACCCTCGGTACTGGGTGCCGAAGGGTCTTCTATAGGAACACTTGGTGTTCTCATCTTTTTCTTTTTTGATGTTGAAGGGGGGATGTACCCTCGGCACTGGGTGCCGAAGGGAAATGAATTACATGGCGTTCTTTGTTGTTGGTGATAGGAGTTCCCTCCCTCGGTACTTGGTACCGAGGGGTCTTGATAGAAAACATGTGGTGTTTTCACTGTTGTTGCAGGTGTTGATGGTGTCCGCCCTCGGCACTTGGTGCCGGAGGGGGTTCCTCTCGTGGTGAGGCCGGGGGCCTGTAGTCAGTATGAGGGCTTGATGTCTTGAATGTATCTTCATTCTTCGAAATTGGAGGCCTTGGGCCATAGGATAGTACATTCACTAGTTATGAGGGCTTGGCCGCTCTTACATTATTGATAAAATTTAACTAAATGGTGTACATTCCAGTGCCTAGGGACTTCTTTCCCATTGGGGCGTTTGAGCTTGTAGGTCCCGGGTTTGATGATGGCTGCTATGATGTAGGGGCCTTCGAATTTTGGTGCCATTTTTCCTCCTTCGGTTGGTTGGCTGGCTTCCCTCCTCCGGAGGACATAGTCCCCTACTTGAAATTCTCGGGTGTGAACTTTGGCGTCGATGTAGCTTTTAACTTGCCTTCGGTAGTTTTCTGCCCGGATGAAGGCCTGCTCCCGGCGTTCTGAAATGAGGTGGAGGTCGAGGGCCATGTTGCTGTCGTTGACCTCGGGATCATATTGGATCACCCTTCGGGTAGGAAGGGTGATTTCCGTAGGAGCTTTGGCTTCAAAACCGTAGCAGAGGGAGAATGGTGTTTCTCCTGTTGCTCGCCGAGGGGTGGTGCGGTAGGCCCAAAGGATGTTGTGGAGTTCTTCCACCCAGCCACCACCCTCGGCCTCCAGCTTCTTTTTGAGGCCCTCGAGCAAGGTCCGGTTGGCGTTCTCTACTTGCCCGTTGCCTTGAGGGTAGGCAACGGAGGAGAAGGTGTGTTTGATGCCCCATGCCTCCAGAATGGCACAGAAGGGGGCTGCCTCAAATTGTGTCCCATTGTCGGAGATGATCTGCTGGGGGACGCCAAACCTTGTGAGGATGTTCTTGAGGACGAAGTGACGACACTTCGCCTCTGTGATGCTGGTGAGGGGTTCAGCCTCCACCCACTTGGTAAAATAGTCGACGGTCACAATGATGTATCTGCTGTTGGAGGTACCCCTCGGCAGAGGGCCCACAAGGTCTATCCCCCATCAAGAAAATGGGACAGAGGTGCTGATGGGGGCATAGTTGACCGCTGGCCTGCCGGGAGCTTTCTGGAAATGTTGACATGCGGTGCACCTCCGGGCAAGGTCAGCACAATCCCTGGCCATGGTTGGCCAGAAGTAGCCCTGGAGAATGAGCCTTCGGGACATGGAGAAGGGTCCCTGGTGAGCTGAGCAAGTGCCACTGTGCACTTCCTCCATTGCGACCTCGGCCTCATCTGGATGAAGGCACCGAAGTACCGTGCCATTGTAAGATCGTTTGTAGAGCCTTCCATCTTCGATGGTGTAGCTGGGAGCCCTCAGCTTTGCCAGTTTAGCGCGGGCCTCATTCTCGGGTAGCTGCCCTGTGGAGATGAAGGCGGTGATATCTGAGATCCAATCCTCCTGACGTTGTTGTATGTTCATAACGGGGCTTGCATGGATGCTTGAGAGGCTGAGTTCCTCGATTTTGGCAATTTTGGAGATGTGCTTGGGGGAGTCGGCCGAGAGCTTAGATAATATGTCGGCCTCAGAGTTCTGAGCCCTCGGTATTTGAGTGAGAGAGTGTGCCTCAAATACCTTAAGCAACTCCTTGGCCGCTTCCTTGTACTGTTTCATTCTCCCCTCCTTGGCCTCATATTCTTCGGAGATTTGGCCAACGACCAACTTGGAGTCGCATTTGATGTGGATCTGCCGAGCCCTCATGTTGGCAGCCAGCCGAAGGCCACATAGGAGGGCCTCATATTCGGCCTCATTGTTGGAGACCTTGAAGGAGAAGCGGATTGCATAGTAGGCCCTGAAGCCCTCGGGAGTAATGAGGACTACCCCTCCCCCGCATGCTTTGGTCGCGGAGGAGCCGTCAATGTAGAGGGTCCACCAGTCGTCCGAGGTAGCCGAGGGCTCCCCGTCCGTGGCTGCCCTTG